CAATTAGTGAAAATGACAACATATTTAACTGCAATACTGAATATTTCAGTTCACATACAAAGCCAACAATATTCAGCTAAACTTTTTGCAACTATTGAGTGAACACGCCGTTCAGAATATCACATATTTGTGCAAAAATTCGGTCGCCTTTTTCGATGAGACCAAACAAACCCATAGAAAAGCAGTCAAATTAATGACTTATAATGACATCGAACTGACCGCCGATGGAAATAATATGTTTACCTATCAGTCAATTAGAGACGGCTGTCAGGTCTGTCTTTTCTCATAATTATCTTTAAATCTATTTTCATTTCATATGATTTATACTAATTAGACTCATAGCAACCAATTGGACAGTACTGTAATAGAATATAATACAGGTCAGTTTGGGATCATACAGACACTCTACTTACTATAAATAGAGTACTTTATCTATTAATTTGGAAAATTGATCATTCATTTGATATTTCAGATAAACCTCAACGACTTCCCATTCTTGACATCGCTGTCAGGGATATAGGGGGAAAGGATCAAGAGTTTGGCTTAGAGTTAGGTCCCGTTTGCTTCAATTAGACTGTTTTGCAATTATTGTTGTTTTTATTTTACACATAATTTTAGTTTACAAATTGTAATCATTTTTGTTTTGTGTTCTTATTTTTAAATATATAATATTTTAAATTTATTATTTTAGTCACAATTGTCCTCTCACAAATATATTAATTAATTAATTAAATGAACATTAGGTTAATACATAAAATAGTAAATTTATAATTTGTTGTATTATACTGTTTAATATAAATAATATAGCATACAGTATTACTACATGTAATTATTTAAAAGTAATTGAATAAAAATAATTCTATTCAAATTCGCTTATTTATTAAATGTTTAACTATTAATAGCATTTAATCCTTCGGTAAACATTTGTAATTCTATCCATAACACAAAATACATATTGATTTTAATCATTAAAATGCATTTAATTTATTTAATATTGCTTTTGATTATGTATTTGTGGAGCATTATGCATTTTAAGCATTGGTTAGGGAAGTTTTTATACAGTGAATTATAAATAATGAAGATTCTATATTATTTAATAAATTTTCACATTTACGGTAAAAGTGGAATATATTAAGTAATATTTGTAATACTGTATTATATTATTATATCATTTAATA